CTCTCTCTCTCTCTCTCTCTCTCTCTCTCTCTCTCTCTCTCTCTCTCTCTCTCTCTCGTTTCTTATATGAATAGCGAAAAATCTTGTAGATATAAGTTTACTTTTGTATATTCTTAAAAAAGGATACATTATCTCTAAGAAAGAACATTCTATTTTTAATTCAACCTCCAGAAAATTCTTACATTTTTTCATTTTTCTTAAATTTCTTGTGCCATAGGACATAGCAATATCCCTTAAAAATTTTCCCTTAAATTCTCTTTCAAATGATTTTTTAAACGAAAATCTCTGAAACTTATCTAAAACCTATCTAAAATCTAAATGGTAGCAAAATTTATAAAATATAAACTTGTAATATCTTCGTAAAATTTTCCGCGTAATAGAGTTTATTGTTTTTTGGATGTAAAAAGATGAAATAACGTGTTTAACGTCATTAAGATTACTTTATATCACTATTAGGAACGACTCACTCTAGAAAGTCTATGAAATGAACGTGAAGGTGGTGTGTTTCATGTGAAACATCAAACTCCTTTTAAATGCCACAGGTTCAAATGATCCAAGAGCAAATGGATGCTTTAGCGGACACTAAGTCAGTCGGTGAGGAAAGGTACACTCGAGCGAAACAAGAAAATGCAACACTACACGCGCGAATATTGATGCTCGAGGAAGCGGCCAAAGATGCAGAAACGAGAGCCGAAGAGAGGCTTCAAGTAAGTAACTCGATATAAATCGGCTAAAATTATTCGTAATTAAACACAATCTAATATAAAAAAAGAAATATTTATAATTTGTAAAGTTCATTATAAATGTACACCTTCTTTAAATACGTACATTATATATTATGTATTCTTTAAATACATACATTATATATATATGCATATATGTAACACGTATATAATTTTATACAATAAAATCATGTTTTTTTCATTTTTATAAGATATTTTGCATTTTAAATTCGATATCGAAAACAATTAAAGAGCATAATTTTTGTTTCTATACCCTTCGAGGATTCTCTATAGTATAGAGTCTATATGATAAGATGAAGTTATAAATCTTTTTTAATATATCGCTAAAAATGATTATACTTTATTTTAAAAAAATGTTTCCACTTTTTACAGGCTGAACAACGAAGACATCGGGAATGGGCATCTCGCTTGGAACGTGAACGTCAGTTGCAACTGGAAAACTGTGACATCAAGCTGCAGGCAGCGGAGCTGGACAATTCCAGTTTGCGGGAGGAGATTGCGCGAGTACGCGAACAGCTCGAGACAGCGAGGACGGATAAAGCGCAGCTCGAGAATGATCTCCGGGAGGCCAGAAGGGAAGCGGACGCCGCGCGCGAAAGTGAACGTCATGCGATAAGCCGAGCTAACGAGGCTCATCATATGCTTGATGTTATGAGAGAAGAACTTTCGTTACGGAACGAGGATCAGCAGAGGCTTGAAGAACTGGTGCAGCAGGTGGTTCAACTTCAAGCTCGCAATAAAAGTACGTTTATTGTTGCACTACGGAACTATATTAATTGGATATTGTGAGCTTTCGGAAGTCGTTCGCTCCTTAAGCATTTCTATCATGAAAAAAACTGCATTTCGAGCGTATTTAAATTGATTCGTTAAGATAAATTTTGTTCTATATAATAATATTACATTCATCGATTTGTAGGCTTGGAAGAATCTCGAGACGAACTGCAAGCTGCTGCGGCGTTGCAGGCAGGTCGTGAACTTATAATGCTGAATCCTTGTAATAATAACGCTGAAAAGGGTCCTAGTCTTGCTGTGGAATTGTTAGCCGGCATGAATCCAGATCAGGTATTTTTTTAGATATATCGAATCTATTAACCGTAACGAATGGATATTAACAATTTATATTAACATCAACTTCTTTTTCTCATCGCCTTACAGATAGATGGCAAAGGAGAGCTCAGTGAACCGTGCACGATGGCTGAAGTACGTATTAAAGCTTAATTCGAAATTTTACTTTCAGAACGGCATAATTAATTCTTATATTTATATTACAGTTAAAACAAGCCCTAAAGGAGCAGCAAGAAGTGAACTCGCAATTAAGAACATACATCGATGGAATATTATTGAACATCGTGGAAAATTATCCGCAATTGTTAGAAGTGAAACAAATGCACTGATACATAGCACATAATCCATCATTACATTCTGTTTTAATGCTTTCAAGGCAGTTGTACATTAACTTTCTTTTAATTGAAGAGACTCGAAGGGGCTGCCTAGAACTTGACTAACATTGATATGTTTTACATATGAATATTTTCGAATAGTACTTGAATATGTAGCGCAAAAGCGCACTTGAAAGTCAATTGTTAACTAAAATCAAGCCTTTTTAAAACAATAGTTCCCGCTTAACGCGAAACTCTAAAAGACGTCCAACTAACTTCGCAGAAGGAGCCTTTTCTAATTATAAGTCTAAGACACTTCTTCAGGTTTTTCCCTGTTTATCTTATCAGAATCAAAATTCGTATGATCGTTTAAGCTCTAGGCAGCAACCATCTCTATACATCTAGAAAAAAAAGAGTAATAAAGTGATGCTATTGTAGTTGCAGCGTGTGCAATGATACAAAAGGGAGAATATTCGACTGGTGTCATATCTCTGAGATGTCATACCATTCGCAGATCTATGAGCCGTTTTTTTCCACTGCCGTCAAACTTCGTCGCGTTATTATCATCATTGCCAGAGTGATGACCAAATTTCGCTTCTCGGATTCTTTACATGTCGGCTGGCCTAAGCACTTTGCTATACGCGATATCTTTAAAGTACTCGTACATGTTAATGATCATATGATTAATCCGAATGAATATACAGGGTATTCCCTAATTATTGACGCAGCACTCGTATGCAAATAGAACGGAATAAACTAAGTTGAAAAGTTCTATACTATTTTTCAATTTTCGCAACAGTTAACGAGAAATTATTTACTAAAAATCGGCGAATAGGTTCGGCTTACCGTTAAATATAAGCGCGTGGTGAGGAACGGCCAACCTAGCAGTCACTCAGGCTACGTGCGCGAGGAGTTTACTACAAGTGGCAATAGCTACGCACGAGCGGCGCGTGGTCCTGAACCCGCTCTGAACTATGATTATCCTCCGTCTTTCTTATTGAAACGAAATCTTCTAACAGCACAGAAAAAAATGTATTTAAAATTAAAATAGTATACAAGACTAAATTAGCGATTACTAGTAATTAATTTCTCGTTGACTATTTTGAAAATTGCAAACCAGTACAAGACTTTTCGAGTCAGTTCGATCCGCTCTGCCCGCACACAAGCACTGTATCAATAATTAAAATTAGGGATCTCGTATGCATATATATGTAATGTATCTGGACACGGTAGTGTCTCGGTGCTAAGACAGAAATACTAAATACTAAATACATGGCGTGAGACACTGCCGTGCTCCTTTACGCAAACCGGCGAGTTGTGCCGGATCGAGATTATCGGTACATATATACGTCATGTATATATACGTGTACGCGCGTGTGCGACAACGGAGATGACATAGCTGCAGACTGCATATGTCGTGAAAAACTGTGATGCATTAGAGTACCTTTTCATTGAAAATTTGTGTCTTGGCTACACATGCCTATAATATATCCTACGGGCAACTACCTTGTACTCTAGATCTTTATACCGAAAGTTAGTAAAATTGCAATAAATGATTCTATTTTGATACTTGTTTCGCCTCCTTTTCCGCTTTTCGAAAATTGATTTTGATTCGAGAAAGTTGACCGGTACTTCGATTTCCGCCATCTAGGCTCGAATAAATCTCTTATTAGAACGTGTTCTAATAACTTCAACGATTTCAAAAAAAGAATCGAAGATTTCGAAAAATGTTAAGTTTTCCTGGTGGAAAAACACATTTTTACGAAGAAGTACAGAAAAACTACATAGATCAGGACAAGATCTTAGAATTCTTAATTTTTCGTAGATATTCGTAGTGGGACGTAGAGTGGCATTGTTTGAGGGCAGAAGACTTCTAATCTTCAATTTTTCAATCTTCAAACAAACAACGCCGCTCTATGTCCTACTACGAATATCTATGAAAAACTAATAATTTCTAAGATCTTGTCTTAATCTATGTAGTTTTTCGTAAAAGTTTCCGTCTGGGTGCGTTTCAACTTTCGCTATTCGTCAAAATAAGAGCGATTCAAAAATTTCTCTACATGAAAAATAACTTTCTTAATTTTATGAACTTGCTGCAAGACACAATCTACTAAGCGAGGATTTTATTAGAAAATTTCCATTTTTCTCTATCAGCAAGAAAATATGGCATCACCTCGTTATAATATCCATATGTGCTGGTTGAATCAACAGTTTTTGAATTTCTAGACTTTTCTAAGATCCTCAATTTCAGTTTATTTGATTTTTAATAAAGTTGTAATCGCGCGTTTGAAAGCCATAATGTACCAAAAAAGAAAGAGAAATCATAAAGAAACGTTTTCAAAGTGTAATTATGTATATAGCACCAGATTTGTTCATGCTGCTTGAGAAACGCTCAAAAATTTTTGCACTTAAAACGAGATAAATATATGTACATTCAGGTATTGGAGAGAGAGAAAATGAAGATTTTGAATGCAAAAAGTGCAAGCAACACGAACAAACCTAGCGTTAAAACGAGTTCATTATAAAAGTGCTTCCAGATGATTTGGCCAACATAAGCCAACTTTACACACATTCACTAAATTCTACATTCATGGATAATTATACATTTTTGTGTCTGTATGTGTGTAATATTTGACAATCTGGCATACATTGTCCATATCGTTTGGAGGCACCTTAAGTGAGAGAGGTTAATTCGTGTTTTCGAAACAATCGCATGTTTAGAGCATGCGGATAAAGTTTGTTAAAAAGATAAATAAAGACAGTTTGTTAAAAAATAATTACGTTTCTTATGTATGTAATCCAAAAACCTTATACATATAAGAATTTCAAATTATCTTGTATAGTCTCTGATAACTATGCTTCAAAAGCGAAAAGAATTAATTTAAATGACAAAAATTTAAAAAAAGAATTTAAAAACTTTTTAAATTTTTATTTAAGAGTATATTATATAAAACTCATACAGAGCAGACCTTTAAAACATGTTCTAAGGACATCCTTTATATCCTAAAATTTATTCCCAGGATATTCTTTGGATAAAGTGTGGGAAAAATCCTAAAATCGGACTATAGTGCTAAATTTAACATATAGTATGTATTACGTTTTTATTTTATGGAATTATTAAGAACGGTCTATGAATACCGATCTGTGTTCATAACGATTGCATAACGAGTTACAGACCATTTTGTCAGACGCTCATTTTTGCTTATCTTATGAAAAAATTAATTATTGCAAAATTACAAATTATATTATAAAAACTTATTATATTATCTGATAGAAGATAATTTTCAGTTTGTATTTATGTATTTAAAGTTTTATTTTTACCTTTTGTTTAAGAAATATTATCTAAAAACAAAGTGCTGTCGCTATTGGCGACCTCCCTCTATTCGATTTTAAAATTGATCAAACAATATTATTAAACCACCAATATAATTTTTAATAAATATAATACTCTATTATATCCTCATAGTATTTTCAATTTTTCGAAAGATTCGAATTTGTATAAAGTGTGTACATTCCGAAAGTATCTTCGTACGCACTGCATTAAATTAAATTCATATGCACAATATATTCAATAATAGGGAGGTATACACGATTAAATTGTTTCGCAATATTAAGAAAATTTGCATGTATATCTTTATATAAAGGATGTATAGAGAGAATATTATCAACCTTTATTTAAGTATGAATCATTTAAAATAATAATGAAGATTGAGACATAAATGTTGGAATATCAAAAATACCCCACACGAATAATTACTAATTACGTTTAAAAGAACCGCGCAAGTAATATAGGATGAACAAGTGCCAGAGATGCCACAAAGCAAAGAGCGAATAAATAAATTTTAAAACCACTTTAAGTAATGCCCTAAGATGGGGTGGCACCCAGTTGGACACGACTCAATTGGACACGAACCACTCACAGCGCTTGAGACTACAAAGCTCCTAAGGCCGGAATCGGACTACGCATTGAAGAATGAGATTGAGAGAGAGAGAGAGAGAGAGAGAGAGAGAAGATTGAAAGATTGAAGTTTCACCAATTAGAACAAAAAGAGCCAGAATTTCTTTGTTCTTATTGGTGAAATTTTAATCTTTAATCTTCAATCTTAATCTTCAATGCATAGTCTGATTCCAGCCTAAGCACCGGTCGCTGTGATTGGTAGTGTCCAATCGAGCCGTGGTCTCAATCGGGATCACCCCATAAATACAGGCAGAGAGAAACCTGAATCTTTATTAATTTGATAGATTTTGGTCATTTTAGCGATTTATTTTCATCAGGAGCATCGCAAAAAAATGGATATTGTTGTGTAGTTCACATTCACTTCTTTAGAGGGCAGTAATGCTCGGGAGCACTTTGCGGTTACAGGAAAAAGGCCCTCATATTCTTTCTCAAGTTTCTCTCTGGTAGGAGCATATTTGCCTAGTTTACATCATGCACTTGTGTGTGATGCGGGTATTAACTAGTAATTTTTTATTAAATTATCTTAATTTCGACGATACAAGTAAACATATACATGATATATGTATTTAATTGATTATTTTGATGCATATTATACCAATTTAATACATCATTCTTTAAATTAAATATTGTCGAAATTAATATAATTTAATAGAAAGTTACTGGTTAGTACGCGTATTAAAAGCTCGGTGTAAACAAAACCTTAAGAGTATGCGATGCGAACAAACCTTTTTACAATTATTAGAAATTATCTTCGCTGACATAGGACAATTCCTCTAAATCAAAAAGTAATAATCCAATCAGCACGAAGGAGGAAACTTCCAACAGTTACAAAACAAACATTCTGTATATGTACATACATACATACATCATACACAAAAATTTTGACTTTTCATGCTCTAAAGAAAAAGTTATATGATCATTACCTTGAACACGATCAATTTTAACAATATTTTAATTCGCGAGGCAGTTTAAACTTTCTTTTGCTTTTTCTGTCAAATTCGATTATTTTATGCAAAAATGTGTCGAATGAACATATATATATATATAACTTTATGATACACAATATCAAAGTTATTCAACTATACCGAGTCATGTTCGGATTCCCACCTGGGGGTCCTCCGGGTGTCAACAAACATTAAATAAAGATGACATGATACCCGAAGAGCACCCAGATGGAAATAGGAACACGCCTCTAAATAATTACCTTTTATTCATTACAGAATTCATCAACCGCACTCATTACTCGATTACTGCAAAGAAGAGCAAGACTAACCGTTAGTCATAATGACTATTTTAAAGGCTCTAATCGCTGGAGGACAAATATGCCTCAAAAGATTTTATGCTACAAGTCCAAAATTTATTGAAATTACACAAGACAATAACACAGGTAATACTGCTATTTCCATCGATGCTTAATACATGACTTTTTCCTTTCAAACTTTATTTTATTGACTAGGTATCGAAATTATATCTATGGCAAAAAAACCTGTTAACAGCATGAATACAGAATTATTAAGTGAACTAAAGACATTTTTATTGGAGGCCCAAAACAGTCGCATTAAAGGCGTTATATTAACGTCGTCCTTGCCAACTGTATTCTCAGCAGGATTAGACATAATGGAATTGTTTAATGATAAAGAGAAACTTATTGATTTTTGGCAAACGTTACAAGATACTTGGTTGACTGTTTACAGTTTGACTATACCGATTGCTGCTGCTATCAATGTATAGTCTTTTAAGTATTACTTTACTACCATATATCTGTAACATTTATTACAACATTCCTTTCTATGAAGGGCTCTAGTCCTGCCGGAGGCTGCCTGTTGGCAATGTCTACGGAATATAGAGTCCTGGTTGAAGGCAAGCATACTATAGGCTTAAATGAAACACAATTGGGTATGGTTGCTCCAAAATGGTTCAGGGATTTATATGCCTCGTTAATTGGCTATCGACAAGCTGAGCTGGCGCTTTTAAGGTATGTAAAATATTGCGTACATATAAATATATAATATGCTTAAAAAATAACATACATGACAAGATTTTACATGATATAATTGTTATATTTTAGAGGAGCGATGTTTAAGCCTGAGAAGGCATTACAGCTTGGACTCGTGGATGAACTCGCTAAAGATAAAATGGATGCGATCGAAAAGTGCAAAAATTACATATTATCTTATGATAATATATCAGGTAAAAATACTGGAGCGTTTTGTTTAGTAGGCATTGATACAGGTATACAAAACAAAATTTAATGTTTGGTCCAGAGATTAATGATATTCTTAGGTATTTTGACGCTCTGAAACCAAATTCGATGTCTCTATCTTTCGAAAACTAAATTTTTCATTTATTTTTATTAGAGCATTTATGACTTGATTTTTAATATGCAAGCTATAAGTTAAAAATATTGGAAAATCGAGTTATTTTTGTGACATATGATAGAGCAATTTAGATATCGAATTCGGTTTTAGAACATTAACATACATAAAAATACCATGGTTTAATTTTCTCCGGATCAAAAATTTCTTTTGTCAGCATTATTAACTATATATTGTTATTGAAATAAAGGTTTGGCAAGGACCACCACCAAGATAGAGTTGCGAAACAACTTGATCGAGTGGTTGAAAAAAAATAAGAAAGCTGATACTGATAACTTCATAAACTACGTGCTATCACCGAAAGTACAAAATGGCCTTAAACTTTATGTTGAATATTTGAAGAAGAAGTAACAATTGGTATCTTAATATGAGACAATATTTGTTACATTCTTACTAATCAAAGCAAATAATTTTGTAAACTTTTATATTATTATGTATCTTAGAATATATATTTTCATACTCTGTGTTAACAAATGTGAAAGTGTCACACTCACATTTTATTACCCGTATTTTATTACGTATAGTCAGAAGTAAAATACACATCATGTTAATTATTATTTCTCCAATATATACAATATTAGGTTGAGGAAAGAGTCCTTTTACATAATTATAGCACAATTGAAACATATTGTTTTAATTGTTTACAAACCTTTTATTAAACCAAGTATATGCCACTTGATTGATGAATGACTTCTTGCCATTTTTCGGGTAGAAAATTCCATCGGTGTAGAACTTCTGTGCTCGGTAAAAAACCAAGGTAACTTGTAAAAAGACTTTTTCCCCAATTCAATATATATACACTGCCGCTCACGGAAGTTCAAACAATCACATAAATTTTGTTGAATGATCGTGTAAAAAATTAGAATATTCTTTTATATATTTTAGGATACTTGTGCACATACTGACACCAATTCCAAAAGTTTTATAAATTATTTTTAATTTTCTATATCAGAATATTAAAAATTTTTAATTTTATATGTCAGAATTTTATACGTTAGGAGCCTTAAAATGAAAGATGACATATTAAAATACTAGTCGCAGCGGGCCATATTGAATCGTGACGTCATAAAAGAAAAATGATACGTTAATTTTTGTTACATACTATTTATAAATAAAGACAATGAATAAAACGAAATGATGAGACCGCTTTGAATGGGACGAAGCTATTCTTATCCTCCCTGACAGTAAAGTCGTAAAAGATAGTGAAAGACACGTGAAGTGTGTTTACTCATTGCATATGTATAGCCTATTTTAATTTTCTATTATAATATGCCTTTTACGACTATTTATTGACTGTCGGAGGAGGGGGGGGGGAGGATAGCTTTAATCCATTTTTACAAATTAAAGCGATCTTATCATTTCGTTTTATCCAAATTGCGTCTTTATTTACAAACGGCATGTAAAAAAATTAACGTGTCATTTCTCGCTTATGACGTCACAATTCAGTATGGCCGCGGCGACTACTCAGGAATCTCAATTAAGTTTCGTTATTATACGCAAGGTGTCTTAGGTATCCAGAATTCATATAAAAAAGGGTCATTTTTTAAGTAATATCCTTAGAAATTTAAGAAAATAATTTAAAAACAAAAAAAAGTGTTAGAACCTGCAAAAATATGTTCGCAGAAGCGCAAAAATCACGCAAATTTCGTTAGATAGAAGAAACTCGCATGAGAGTAATCATTAATCATTTGTATATTTGCAGGTAAATTTCTCGTTAATACAGATCTTACTTGCAATAAAAAAATCCGCCACTACAGGCAAAACTCTTTATTCGAGTAATTAAGTGTACAATTATGAGTGCACTTATTGTGTTTTGATCTTTTTTTCTCGTTTGCATCTCTACTATGAAAGTACTTATACATATACTATCGACACAAAATTTTTTATTCGCTATAAGCAGCGTGAACATACATAGCGTAATCATTCTTTCTTTCTTTCTATCTATCTTGCTTACAAAATATCTACGCGCCCCGTACTGTCTCACAAGATCGACGTGTCACTATATTATAGAACTCTCCCGTTCACGCAATCGCCATAACGATTTCATGCTCATCCTCTCATGAAAACATCACGCGCCATTTACTCTATTTAAGACAATCATAACGGAAATTTCAATTTTACGTAATATTATCTCGTCGGACTTGGTATTAGCATATGCGCATATCGGTTTCACCTAACTTTTACTCATTACTCTTATATTTTTTATTTCCTACTAGAGATGTGCGAACGATTTAAATGCGAATCAAATTGAATTGAATCAGGTAAGATTCGATTCAGATTTGAATTTTTATGATTCGCAAATCCAAATTGGCAGACAGGCAGGCAGGCACGCACGCTTACAAAAGCTTTTGATAATTGATTTATGATTTTTCATCTAATTGTTTCAGTGACATTAACAATAAATAAAGTAAGTATATTTTATAAGTTTTATATTTAATATTTAAATATATGTATATTTACTTAATGAATTTATATGATTTAATCAATTTCTTTTTCTTACATTCAAAATTTTTTTTCTTTTGTTATCTATATATTAAAATTCAACTTAATAATAATTACGTTATTAACTAAACCTCCGTCTGCGATCTCCGTTATTTTAGGTTTTCAAAAAATGTGAAAAAATTCTGGGCTACTTTTCATCTCTATTACATTACCAAATAAGTTCTTAAAAAAGACATTTTAGGGGAAGAAACCGCGGACTCCCCCCTCATTTTTTGAAAAAATTTGAAACTAAAATTTTGTTTGTCAAAAAAATCCAGATTGCAAACAGAAGGTTAGAAGTTATGTTCTAATTCGATTCGATTCGGTTGAAATCTTGATTCGGATTTGAAATTAAAGAAACTCGATTTGATTCAATTCGACATAAAAAAAACTTTGATTCGCACATCTCTACTCCCTACTTAAAGTGTAACTTTTATATCTCTCGTGTGTATCACGCGCGTTGATGACACACCAACTGATTTGAAATGAGACAGTAAGAAAATCTATACATAGTAAAAAGTCTCTACGGAATTACGGAGAATCAATGGAAGCGATCTTACCTATAATTAGAGATAAAAATCGAATAATCGTCGAACTCCAAAAATCTCACTGCTAAAGAAAAGTATACAAATAAAGACCGTACTTTAAAGTGACCCTACACGGTCAATAATACTGATTAGTAATATTGAATCAGTAATACTGACAGTATGCATTAATATTTTTACTATTTTTACAACCTTACATGATCAGTATTATTGACAATATATTTCACTTTAATTTTACGTACAATATCTATTACACTGTAACATACTACGACACAGACCCTAATAAAGCGATACTGATGCTCGAGAATCAAAATCCAAATCACTGTCAGTATGTATTCTATCCACCAATATTAAACACATAGGCTGCGTTCAGCAGACTCAGCAATTTTGCAACCGTTTTATGATTCGTCGCGATGATTGGTTTATACTTTTAATTTTAAAGGAACAGCTCCAATCTGAGCGAAGAATCATAAAACGGTTGCAAAACTGTTGAGTCTGCTGAACGCAGCCATAGGCTCAATAATACTTTCAGTATTAATAAATATTGATGATATTATTGATCGTCAGTATTTATTAATACTGACAGTATTATTGATTGCGTAGGATCACCTTTAAAAACCTACGAAGCAAGATGAAAGTAGATTGACTATCCTTCTTACGTAGAAATGTATCCGAACTACAATTGCGTAGACGTATAAGCTAAGTGGCTTATGGGAGTAATAGTGTAGCAGTAAATGTTATACAACATATTATCTACAATCGAGTAAAGACATGTCGTAACTATAAAGTTACAACAACCAATCAGAATGCAATTTCAATAATAGCAGTAAATTGTTTACTATAATAAATAGACAAAAAGTACTTTTGCTATTGTTACTGTCATTATATTATGAAATCGAATTTATAAATTTGCTTACTACATATCTATTTAAAATTAACGACGCGGACACGTGACAGCACTTTGATTGGATCACTCTTACTTTTTACGTAGTCATAGTTTTGAAAAATAACTTGAACCATCTTTCACAACGCGCTTTACAATCGGTAGTAGCAAGTTAAAACTGCGTTTTACGTTTCACAATCACTTACGTCTACATTTACGCAATTGTAGATAGGGCTTAAAATACAAAATGACATTGAAATATCACGGGCAGTTTCCTTATCTAAATCGAAGACAAAAATTCTTGCAAACTAAATAATACCTTAATAGATAAACTATAATTATTTTCTCGTGAATGCGAAGGCGGCCTCAAGACTGTAATTAGATGGTAAAATTTCATTCGGCGTTTACTTATAAGTCAACTGCATCTTACAGAATCATAATTAACATTCCGGAGTTAGATATCTAATATTATATAAAAGCTACCAATAACTACAATAACACAATTCGTTTCCGACAAAATCAACCTTTCGCTTTTACATGACTATTTGTCACTTGTACAAATCCTGTAAATCGGGTAAAAAGAATGCGAGATAACATTAACTACGATATGAAGGGGACACAAAATCATATTCGAGAAATGCGAGATTTTTTCGTTAAATACGCTCAAGATCAACAGATTTAATTCGCTCATATTTTAACAAATCGAATCACAGTTCACATTATCAAAATGAAGTAAATATGTTGTTTTCGCTTTCAATTGCGAAAATACGCTCCTTGGTACCATGGATATCGTAGAATGAAAAGATGAGAGGAAGTTGCTTCGTATAAAAATTAATTATCTCTAATCACTCGGTCGATTATAATACGTGCCTATATATGAATGTACAGAATGGAATCATCCGTCCTAAAGTATACTATACATAGGACGACGATTTCAAGTTTGTGACGATATTGTATATTTAAACCTTTAAACCCTCCGTCGGAAAGCGCACGAAGTTGTTGTATCTTCGTTATAAGATACTATAGAAAAATAATAACGAAGACTGGAGGCTACGTGGAAAAAGTACTCGTCGAAATCTCGAAAAGGTAGTTCACAACGTGCGTGATATAATATGAGAAGTCCTTGAGATATTATCGTACATGAAATTCCGAGTACGCAAATCCAATCACGATCGTGCTATTTATAAAATAAAGACGAAAAAGATAACATGGCAATAAGGATGAATGTTGAGTGAAACTTGATCATTGATCGATGGTTTCGAATCAGTCGATATCTACATTGATTTGACTGGAGTTTTGATGAACGTAAGTTCGCGTATAAAAATGTTCCAAAGCACATATGGGAACTATGTATAACAATAGCTTTACAATAAGTGATCTTAAAGAATCGTGAAAAATATCGGTATTTCTGTTTATGCTCAAACTGGAAAACTATATTTGTAAGAGCATAAATATATACTTTTTTTTTGTGCGGACACGCGTTTCATGTTT